CTTCAACGGGAAGACGAGAGGCGGCTTCTGTCTGTCTGTGAACAAACTCCCATGTAAGACTCACGTAAGCCGAAAATGTAAAGCTGTGTTCAGCCTCCTGTTTCAGACATCCTGCAGGTTTGTTCGTACTGAAATAGCTGTTGCGTTCAGTTCTTTCTTTGCTTATAATGTCTTCATGTGAACAGTAAGATTCACATAAATAGGACTGGGACGATAGCCCATCTCTAAAAGCAGCATTAAAACACAGCAGCCTTTAAACTTAGCATTGATAATCAGTATAACAATAAATATTGCTCAAAACTTTAATTTTGTAATCAAAACAGAGTCTGAGTCCACTAACAGGAGAGCAGAGTTTATATAATCAAGAGATCCTCATTTTGGGCCTTTCTCTACACTCACAGAGATAAATCTACATTTGCTTGGAGTGTTTGGATCATGTCCAGCCTCTTCACTCAGATGCTTCATGTCAGAGCCTGAGCAGTGTCTCTACAGGACGTTCAGCCTAGAGGAGCCATGGCAAAGAATCTTTAGTGTCAGTAGGAGCTTAACAGACTTCTTGAACCATGGGTAGCAAAAGGCATAGATGAGTGGGTTCAGACAGGAGTTAAAGTATGGTAGCCAGTTCTGCGCAGGCACAGCTGTCAAACTAAACTGAAAACTATCCCCTCCAAAGAAAGAGAAGTAATATGGGAAGTAACAAGACAGAAAAGCGACAACAACCACTCCTAGGATCCCGGCAGCTTTCAGCTCAGATTTCCTGACGTGCACGGCCTCTGAGGGCTTCAGAGCTACGACCCTAATCTGACCCCTCATGGCCCGAGCCTGAGACACCGCCACCACAAACACCCTGAGATACAGAACTATGATCACAGATACAGGGACCACAAAGATCAGGACAAAGTCTATGATTGCCTCATTATCATCAAAAACCATTACACACTCGCCCTGACATGATTTAAACATGCCGGGCTGAAGGAATGCATCCCACAGCATCACACTGACATACAGCAGAGAGCAGACCCAACAGAGTACATTAACAACTAAAACTCTCCTCACAGTGATTTTATAATGATAATGCAGAGGGTTACAGATGGCCACATAGCGATCGATAGAAATTAGCACCATGGTTCCCACTGGGACAGTGATCAATGTGGCGTCTATCCCACTGTACAGCACACAGATGTGGTCACCCAGGTACCAGCAGCCATCTGAGAAAACCAGCAGAAAGGATATGAGGAGCCCCACGAGGAAATCTGAGGCAGCCAGAGAGAGCAGCAGGAGGTTGGTGGGGGTGTGGAGCTGCCTTAGTTGAGAGAGAAGAATCACATATAGTCTGTACAGCCTTTGAAAAGTCAGAAAAACATTCAGCATAAACATTCTAAGTTAGAGTAGTATATGATACCAATCATCTTGTTTAGAAGTGTTTCCTTCCATGCAAAACATTTATTTACTGCATCAAAAGGCATGAGGCGAATAAGAGAGCAGGTACTTGAAGTGGGAGATGGAGATGATGACCAGCAGGTTGAGGGTGGTGGTGAGCAGACAGATGAGGGGCAGCAAGCTGTAAGTCAGTAGTTTATCAGCCGGTGAGCGCTTCTGCTTTCTACAGGAGGAGTTGATGTGTGGAAAGCAGAGCTCCCGC